AGAAAAATGTATATATACATATATTTTCGTTCCCCTCTCTCCCCTCTCCCAGATCTCGCTCGCCACTCTCCCAGATCTCGCTCTCTCACTCGCCTCTCTCACTTTATACAAAAAATGCAAATTGTATAAAATGTGTTTGTGTTTATATAAAGCGAGAGAAAGTTGTATATATACATATATTTTCGTTCCCCTCTCTCCCCTCTCCCAGATCTCACTCGCCACTCTCTCAGATCTCGCTCTCTCACTCGCCTCTCTCACTTTATACAAAACGCAAATGTATAAAATGTGTGAAAATTGTATATATACATATATTTTCGTTACCCTCTCTCCCCTCTTCCAGATCTCGCTCTCCACTCTCCCAGATCTCGCTCACTCACTCGCCTCTCTCACTTTATACAATTGATCTTTTTGTATATGTATACCAAAATAGATTATACAACTGCTTTCTTTTGTATATGTATAGCGAAATATACATATTTATGTTTGTTATGGAGTGCAATTATGCAAACTTTGCTATAACATACAAATATGAATTTTGTGTCTGCTATATGTGAAAGTTGCTCTTTATTTTTTGTGTCAAATCTTAACGGTTAAATCGATAACGATCGATAATCGATAAGTAAATATCTTAATGGTTCTTAACAAGTTTAGCATGTCTACAAACCGATAAGCGACAAGTCAAACTGATAAACTTTAAAACCGACCCAAAACCGACTGATACACAACCCTGGGCACAATCCAAATATCTTTATCTAGAAAATTATATTGTATATATAAGGTTCAAATTACTTTTTATGTATATATAATAGATATTTCATTTTCTTAATTTTTCCATATGTTCATTCCTTTATATTTCAAATCCCCTAAGTGAAATTTTGGACTCCGCCACTAATCACTAGCTAGAGTCAATTTCAGCCCAAATCATAACCCAAAAAAGGATATGGGCTCATGAAGTCCAATCCAAACAAAATGGCACCATATGTCCTTTTTCAAGTCATTCTTTATATTTTGACCACATTTTGGAAATTTTTGCATATATAGACTTGACAGTAAATGACTAGTTTCTAATTACATTTTTCTCCTCCCCCTCCTTTTTTTTTTATTTGAAAATAATTATATAATATTGACTCACGGTGTAAATTTATCTTTGTTTAAATTTCTTTAGTATAAAGTACATAATATATTTGGGGATAATTACATCCTATTCAGAAGTTTCCCCAATTACGAAAATTTTGAATTTTTCATTGCTCTTGAATACATTCCTTGGTTGTTTGATACATTACTTAATGGGAGGGATGTATCCGAGAGAATTTTTTGCATTTTTTTTAATAATAGAGAATTTTAGATATTGTGATATCTTAAGTCATTTATTTATGTATTTTTTTCATTTCTTTAGTGAAACAACTTAACAAGGAGGGTTCGAACTCAGCCCATGGGGTCAGCTCAAATGGACTATTAGTAGAGCTCAATAATTTTGTAATATCTTTACTTACTCCTTTTGCTTCTATTGATGAGATTTTTAGTCCGTAAATCGTTGATCAAAATAATAATCGATAATATACATTACACACATAATATAGATATTTTACACATAACTAGTATAAATTTTTTTGTACATATAGTAATTATTTTTGTAAGCGGCTATATATGTAAGCTTCCCTTTATTGATACCTTCATAAAATGGAGATTAAAGTCAAACTAACAAACAATTATACGATTTATAATCCATGTTATACATTAGTGTTAGGGAATTGGGTGTAGGTTCTTCGAAATTCAGTAATTTTTACATACATTATGTATTTAAATTGAGAAATTTATTAAAAATTTGTTAAAAATTTGATAACAGAGTAAGCTTTTGGTCCAACGATAAAAATAAAATTTACTTAAGTTTTATTGTCTTTCTCAATGAGAGTTCAATTCACCATGGACACTTATAATAAAATATTTTTAAACGTTTAAAATCGCTAAAAAATCACACTTTAAATTCTGAATCCGCCCCTTTTCATAATCTTTGTACCTTTTTCATATTTCTTTTTCCTCTCAAAAATGTTTGGAATTCACAAATAGATATGACCTTAATTACTTTTTGAAAAGTAAACATAGCATTTGATCAATCAAACATGGGGTATCTAAATCTTTCCATATATATGGAGTGAGATTATTTCTCCTAAAAAAATACCCCATTCATTATTGCCTACTCCATTATGTGTCAATCAAACATGAATTTTCATGTTAAAAAAATTGAACTTGAAAGTTGTTAGATAATTACATGTGGCATGCAAGAATAAATTTCCCAATTCATTCGTGAATAATAATTCAAGGGCGTGAAGCGAGTACTTCTAGCTGCTTCGCCTGCTTCTTATTATGGCGGCTATGTTTTTGTGGCGAAAATGAACGAAAAGCGAGATGAGCGTGCTATTTTCAAATCGATTGATCTTATTACAGAATCCACAGTTTAGAAAGTAGCCCTAGACAGATCATTGCTAAGAGGAGAGCTGAGAATTTCTTGCTAATCAGGTGCTCATCGTATTATAATGATTATTCCGACGTCAGAGCAGACGGGACTACCAATTCCAGAAGAGCATCCTATAAAGTATAAACAACTTTGATTTTCTATTTTTACGTATTGCCAACTTTGGACTATAAAATAAGTACAAATTTTTAGAATATGCAACTTTGATGCCAAAGATCTTAGCCTCCACAACCACCAAGTAATATACTAAATAATGGCATAAAGTTTTAGTGCATTTTCTTTAAGGAACACAAACCGTTAGTGGCACTATGTTTGATAGTGTAATGAATTTATAATGTTATTATAATTTTATAGGTATAACATGTTAGTATTTGTTCCATAAATAAATAAAAGATTATTGTCTCTGATAACTTAAATTTTAGATGAGATATTTGTAATTTAATATAAAATTTAGAGTAGGTCTTATGGTTCCAATCTCATCGGTAATTATTATAGATAGATTAAAATTGGACACATACGATTATACTTAGGAAAACAAAGGAAATTTTATTTTGTATATTTGGTAGATAACATTTCCATATATATATACCCTGAAATAGATTTATTCGTTGGAACAAACTATGTATAAATTAGGAGGCTATTTTGTAAATACAAGGAAGGTTTTTTCCCGGCTGATTATATCATAATGGTACACGTGTTTTTGGGGGAAAAAACTTGTATAAACTTAATCCAAAATGAATAATATCACACTATATTAAGCACATTTTTACCAGCATTGTATTCCATCAACTAGTGCTAAGAGATATTTTATTTTTTAGTTAAAAGGCACTCGTCTTAGTCTGTTTGGATGGGCTTATTGTTTTTAACTTATAAGTTAAAAGCCATAAATTACAATTTTTAACTAATAACTTTTGACTTATTTTTATCTTTTTAACTTGAAATCGAGTGTAACACTTTTTAAAATTATCTGAACACTCCATAAATGTTTAAAATCATGTAAAATTAAGTCAATCCAAACAAGCTCTTAATCAGCTAAATGTTTTCTTTTAGTTCTAAAATATATTTATATTATTTCTTAGAAATTCTTCCAAAATAAAATACATATATTATTAATGTTTCCAATAGAGTGGATCATGTCTATACTCTTTTGTTGCAATAAATTAAGTAATAATGGGATGATATGTGAGTGTCTTGTAAGAAAGCACTCACAATTGAAACCAAACAATTCCTTAAAATAGATATTGTCATGTATGAAGGTGGAATTCCCACCACTTTAATTGGTTGCTTACATGTGGGAAGCAATGTACTTGGTGCTTGCATAAGTTAAACTCTAGCTAGTTTATTATAAAAATCGCAACGGAGTGATAAATATTTTTTTTGAAAATTCTAAATCATTCATTAGAGATCTTAAATATGAAGTTGTTTATGTTAGAGAGTGTTTTATCTGTATATGATATTTCACGATGTGAATCCACATTCAACAAGATCATATATAATACAGGTATCGAACACCAAGTAAAAAAAAAACTTCCATTTCTAATATTTTCTAAATTTGAGAGTAAGTTCAGAATCCATAAATTTCCGACCTAGCTCTACTTCTAAACTTAAATAATTGTCATCATTTTTTATTTTTTTTTAAACTTCCATTTCTTGTCTTTTCATTCGGAGGCTAAAAAAAGACATCAAAAGTTAATGAAACTTGTCTATAGATAGTGAAAGTTAAAAGTTGCTAAAACATGAACAAAATATTAAAGTGTTGTAATGGGAAACAGTTGTTTGCATGTCTAAAAGGTTGACTTGTTGATCTTATCAGTTGTCACCTATCTTATTCCACCTCCGTCACAAAGTCACTTGACGATAAAAAGAGAAATTTCGATTAACTTTTTTCTTTATTCTTAGATACTTCAACGAGTCACTTGAAGCTCTACTCTTCGATTTGCCCCGTGTTGTCTTCCTCTAGTTGCTCACATGACCCAATAACCAATAAGTCGAAAAAGGTTACAGTTATTTATCTTTTTCGTTATTATTAAAGAAAAGACTATCATATATCTTATATTTTTACTTGCAATAGTTATGAGCTTTGAAAGAATTGATGATGTCATAAAAAATAAACTATTTTTACATCTAAGAACTTTTTAAATATTGCCTACTCTTTTTCTCCCACAAAATAATGAGATGTTTGTTTGCCCCTCATGTATGTCGAGAAAATAATAATAATAATATTCTCTTATATATAAGAATGATTCTTGAGCATCATAGAAAATCAAATATCTAATAAATTTTGAAATATCGAATTAAAAAAAAACACTTGTCACATGACCATGTAGATACAATATATATATATATATATATATATATATATATATATATATATACTTGGGCCCACTAAATAATTAATTAAGGTATTTCTATGTCTACAATACCATGGGAATATTAATCCACCTTTTTATATGTATATATATACTTGACATACTTCTCCATAACACAACCAGCAAAACCCAACAAAGTTCCTTTTTTCCCCTCTCACACACAAATTATTAGAACCAAAAATATGATGAAGCAAAATGTATATTTTCTGCTACTTCTTCTTGTTTCCATGATCATATTTTCACAAGCATCTAGTCGTTTTTTAATAAACAATCTGCAAGGTATATGAATAATTTTCATAATTATATGTTTTTTTGTCTATCTAATTAAGTTCCGATTCTTAGAGTTATTTGATATTTGTGTTGATGAGCATATAGCATATACTAGATGAATTAAGGGTCGTTTGGTTGTTGGTTTTATTTGAAGGTGAGTTATGCAAGTACTAAATTCTGCATAAGTAATACCATGTTTGGTAGCTGGTTAGGAGGTGAATTGTAAATGTATAAAATTATTATGGTGTTTGGTTTGTAATTTAGAAATTTGCATAACTAATATATATATATATGTATAAGTTACGACAGAATCTATGTATTTATGTATGCAGGCTAAAAGGTAGAATAATTAATATATGTATAACTAATACCTGCATAAATTGATACACAAATTTTCTTATAATTGTTCCCTACTTTATGAATATTTGCATAACTCTAATCCAGCTACCAAAAAGTTGGTTTTCCATGATATAATTATCGTTGAAGTTTTATTACCTAGCTAGTGTATATGTTATGAAATTCCAAGCAATAGCTTTTATTTTTAAAAACAAATAACACATTATGTCCGAAAAGTGGTTAGTAAACGTTATTTTTAATATGGATTAGTTGACGAAGTCCGCACAAGTTGACTTAAATGCCACCACAAAGAAAATAGTTTAAGTTAAATGCATGCATTCTCCTGTTAATAACTTTTACACTATGATCAAATCATTTAAAGTATATATCTATAGATAAGTCTGAGAATTTTGTATTCTTGAAAATAAGATAAATTATCTACTACAGTAGTAAGTGACAAGGGTTTATCAGAAAATAATCTCACTATCCTATAAAAGTAGGAATAAAATCAACGTATATTCTACCATCTTTAGATCCCACTGAATATGTCATTATAGTTATTATATCAGCTAATAGTAAGGATGAATTAGATTGCATGTATAAATTAAAAGTTTCTTGTAACTAAAACTTATAACTAAAGAAATTATATTATATTGTACTTATATTATAAAGCTTGGTTGATGAGTAAATTAAACAAAAGTTTTGAATGATTGCAGTGGAAGAGGAAGCAAAGCTGCCTAAAAGAGCCAATGATGGAGACTCAATTGACAAGATGGGAACTATTAATTTAAATGTAATTTTCTAGCCTTTTTCTTCTTCTAATTATTTCAACTTTCATACTTTTTAGTAATTATATATTTATTGTGTTGTTTTTTTGCAATTTTGTGTAGAGGTTGATGGGACTAGAGGAATATTCATGTGAGGATAAAAATGATCAAGAATGTATTAAGAGAAGAGTTCTTGAAGAAGCTCACTTGGACTACATCTACACTCAACATCATAATCACCCTTAATTATTAGAGATTATTACTTATATATATATATATATATAGTTCAAGGATTAATTAACATCAAGGCAGCCTTCAAGCGACGCGGATTCGAGCTGTGGAAGCTGTTTTATTAGGAAAATATATTTTAAGACTGGTTTAGAGTCGCCACTTAATTTTTAAGAAAAATCAAGAAAACTATTATTTTCAAAAGACTAAAACAGTAAATCTATTGAAAACTTGAAAAGGGTTCGAGGTTCTTATTAACATTCTAGGAAGGTTTTAAAAGCACCTAGAATGTCCACTAATGTGGTTATCCGACAATTAATCATTTGGCTAAAATAATTTTAACTTAACTCGTCTTGCAAAATTGAACTATTTTTGTAGTCGAAACTATTAAAGGAAAAATGTTGAAATACTTATCCAAGTGAAATGTTTTGTAAGCTTATTCATTCACTTATTTATTTTTTAAGTCAAGTAAAGATGAAAAAACTAGATTAAGTGATTAATTCAAAATGGGTGTCTTTTGGGGATTTGAATTTTTTCGACCTTAAGATTAGCGGCAAATACTAGCAAGTAAAATGAACACAATAAAGTAAGGAGGGAAAGAGAGTTGGGCCCAAATCTGGTTTTCCTGTCCGCCTGGGCCAGTATTTGGGCCCATTTTCGTTTTGAGCCTTTAGCCCATTTAAGTCATTTGTACCTGTCATATTCTAGCATAATATAGGATATTTTATTTTGGGCTTTAGGCCCAGTATTCCTCCACCTGTCCTAAATTCTAATAAGATAGTAATAAATGAAATGACGAGGGCTTAGGCCCAAAGTAACAAAATACAATTCTTTGGAATTAAGGGTGGGCTTTTGGCCCAATCTTTTCAATTTCTCGATCTGCTGCATATTCTTTCGACCCCGAAACCTGTTCGTCAATTTTTATAGCTGGCCAGTTGACTCGATAAAGGAATTTGGAGCCTTTATGGCTCTCGCAAAATGCAAGGGCGGAGAAAAATGGGAGTTCATAGCAAACTCGGACAAATTCACGTACAAAGACAAATAAAGTCGTATTAGTAACGGGATCAGAAAAATCCAACGTATTTCTAGAAAAATAAAATGACCGTTAAGATAACTAATAACTTAGCACGGTAAATCCATAATAGAATATTAAGGACTAATTTAAACTTGGCCAATTACTCATTACTAGCTACAGTAAGAAGAAAGGATAAATTTGATACACATTCATGAATACTAGTAACTTGTTAAAGATCAATCTACATCACACGTGTCCTTCAAACAAAGAAACTAAGGCCAAAAGTGTGAACTAGAAATTGTAGGCACACATGGCGTATAGATTATGAGCAAATCCCATTTCTTTAGCCTCCGCCAATTTTCAGCTTTATGCACTCTCATATTGACATATGTTAAATGAATTATTAAGGAAGTGAACAATAAATAGAGCTACAGGCAATGGACCTTGAAATTTAAAACGCCCCAAATAATCTTACGGATCAGATTTTTAACAAAAGCAAGATTTGGGAAATAAAGCAAAACAATCATATCCTTTGTAACCTAATAAGTGACCCACAGAAAGATCTCAACTATGACTTTGCATTTGAGCTAAAAACTAGAATTTAAAACCACACAAATGATAACTCTTCTAACTAAAGTGCATAAATAGTTACAGTAACAAAAGAGGTATAACAATAAAACAAACAACTAGTCCAGAGACTTATTTCAAGAAAACTAGAAAAAAAAAAACTCATCCCGAGATTTGAAGGAAAAAAAAACATATTTCCTGGAAACAACGCGTTTGAGCTAACCACGGGTGACCTCTAAAGAGTAGGAAATAAAAAATCAGATAGGCAAAACAGTAGAAGAGACAGAACGTGGATCTCATATCGAAGAAAGAAGTCTTAAAATACAAAAATACCTCAATATTTTGGTACGAAATAAACCTAGATATATACCGATATGGATAAAAAAAACTAACTAAGATGAGTTTTAGAAAGTGAAAGCAAGAGCAATGGAGCTTAACACTTAATCAGAACATGAGCCTGAACACAAAATAGAGAAAAACAAACAATGAAGAAACAATCCAAACTTAAGACGAGCAAAACAACCACAAATTTAAGAAGAGCATATACAATATACAAGGGCAAATGACCATTAAGCCCTCTTGAAAACGAACACAGGCGTTACTCATTTCAGAACACACATCACACTGAACACATCACGCAAGCTTATATTAGGATCCACGACGAACTACATATCAAACCAACACAATGAACTTAAAATGAACAAGGGGACTACGAGTTGTTTACCTTATTGTGGGCAGCGACTGGGGACAACTACGAGCTTGGGACGACTTCTGCCACACAAGCACAGGCACGAACCTGAACACGAACAGCAAACGGAAAAATGGAGGAAATCTCGGCCTCAAATGAGCTTATGCCAAGCGAAAACAGAGGAATGGGACTCAGACTCGAATTAGTTGTCTCTTATGCTTTCTTTTTGTATATATCTTATATCTATACTTTCTCTGAAGCTGTTCTCTTAGTATCAGTAAAAGAATGCCAATCTTTCAATCTTCTTGCCCACTTTTCCCAACTTTTCTCCTAATATTTTTTAAACCCCTTTCTTTTTCTAACTCAGAATTTGCAACTGAACATCTCCTAATCTCCCCCCTCTTTTCAATCAGTAATGATAGAGTATATATAGCAGGGGGAATTAGGGCAGAAGTAGAGGGAAAACGAACGAAAATTCGGGTCCAAAGCCCATCCCAAAAATTCAAACCCAAAAACCTCTTTCACCATTTAAGCTAGACACTTTTTTTTTAAGTTTCGTCCCCATTCCGAAAGAGGAATGGGTGAATCGACGCTTGGGATTGATCAATCGTCCTTGAACTCTTGCGTGTCATCATCCCACGGAAGCAAGGACGAAAATTGCAGAGGCTTAAGACTGGAATGGCGCTGCTGGAGCGATTCTGGACTGCTGGAATTTGTCGCGTTCTCCACTAGACTGAGAGGAAAAAGAAGCGTAGGATATTGGGGTCGTTCAATGTTGCTGCTGCTTTTTGTCACGTTGTCAGCTGTTGTTGTTAACGTTCACAAAGAAAAGGGGTTGGATCAATGAAGGATTGGGCCGGGTTACGGGTCAAAAGTGGAATTTGGTGGGCTGTTGTTTGGTATTGAGTTGGATTTGGTCATTTTTGAATGTTGTGGGCTGATTTCGGTGGGCTGCTGAAGGCAGAAAAACAAAAGCTGGCTGGGAAATTGAATTTAGCCCAAAAATTGGTCTTAAAAGCATTAGAACTTAAGCTAGGGTGGCTATCTTGGCAAACTATGAAATAACTATTGAATTACAATCATGACCAATTTAAGTTGAAATTGTAGCCCAATTGAATTAAATATTTAGCCGAATGAGTTTAGTTGGTAATTCGACTAAAACTAAATGAGACGAATTAATAGAAATTAATTAATGAGCTTCCTAATCTTAACGAAATAAGATAATTGACTTAATTATAACATAATTAAAATACGAACTAATCAATTCAAAATCGTAATTATGATTTAAACTAAACTAGATTAATAAAATACTTAGCTAAAAAGAAATAAAATCTTTTTGATATGATTTTCAAATATCTATAAAATACGCTAATTAATAATAATAATAATAATAATAATATATATATGTATATGTATGCATATACTATTTGAAAGTTCCAAAAAGTGACAAAATCACATAAAACTAACTTGAAAAATATTTTGAATTTTATAAGGTCAATAATTTCAAATCGTTCGGAATTTAAGAAGCTCGATGATTGATTATTATTGGGGAAGGTCAAAATTAGGTGTCAACAGAAGCAACCATTAATAGTTATATTGTATTATGATATAGATTTGTCTACATTACATAAGGCCCTTCCCTGAATCATGTATAAATATCAATTGCTTTGTGTACTAGACAACCCTTTTTAAGAATTAATTAATATGTAGCCTTTTTAATTAATATCACACAATAATGTTTCTGCTTTTTTTCTTCTTCTTTCTAGTGTATTTGTTCTCTCAGAATTTTTTTCCACAAAGAGAAAGGACTAATTGGGCTTATGCAATTTCGTTTATTTAGGGATTTTTCGCAAATAGTTACTATAATAAACTTTAAGTATGCTCCATAGCTATAATTTGTATATTTATGGGATATAGCTACAGTTTAAGCTGTCTCGTTTGTATAATTCGCGGGTACGTTTGTATAATTGAGCTAATTTTTTTTTTATAAAGTCGAAATAACGAATTTATACATACACAAAAATCTGAACTTTAAAAAGTTATACAAATTATATTATACAAAATTACATTATGCAAAAGTTATACAAGTTATATTATACAAATTCTGAATTATACAAACGTGCGAATTATACAAACTCGAAAACCCATCCCACGTAATTATCGATGAATGTTGGTCGCGAATGGTAATTAACTAAAACTATAGCTATGATGACTAATTAAGTAGTATATGATTGCTATCATGTAATTTCCTTAACTTAGTATATAGAATATAGGACTACTTGATTCATATGTAGCCCATGGTTGTTGCCTATAGGGATTATGTTTAGCATATATTTGTTTCATTTTATGTGATATGGTTATTACTTACAAAATTAAAGGAGTTTTATTTTCATTTTACAATAACTTTAAAAGAAATTAAGTAATTAATTATTTGTCACAATTCATCAAGTTCAAAATATAAAGCTATTTTAAATAATTACAAAATATAATTATAGTTTACATTTTTATAATAAATATACGTTAATACATGTATTTTAAAATTGTAGACACAATTTTTGTATACACACACATATTGTAAGTACGCTATTAGTGTATATACATTTGTATATTTAATGTATCGATGTATATATATTGATATTGTATGCATGTGCATATGGTGTATATTCTATAATTTGACCCAAAAAATACTACTGCATTTTGAAAAAAAAGAAGGTATGATTAGTTTTTGCAACAAAAAAAAAAATCTTGCTTATTTATGAAATTT